ATATAATTCATTTTACAACTTTTTGTTTTGTGCCAGCCGGATCAAATAAAGAATGTGACTTTAAATCGAATAAAGTATAAGTGTAGTAATGGAGTCAGGATTTATTATGCAATGGCTGCCTGTTTCTACAGGTCTGTAGTGTTTGTGTGTGAACTCTCTTAGGAAATGAGTTAGCAGGTGTGAGAACTACAAAAATATTTGTGTTGGCCTGTGAGAAAGGTATCTGAGGTAGTTAGAAAACACACCCAGATCAGGGTCTGTGTCACTATCAGCAACAATGACATTGTTACATCTTATAACTATTACTATGGTACAAATGTGCACATTTAGAGACACGATCTAAATCTCGCAGGTGTTCTSACATTTATCTCAAAAATTCCTGCASGACTGCAGGGGAAAAGGTTTCTAATCTGGTTTTGTTACCCGATGAGCTGTCACCTGTCATCTAATACTCAACTCATTGTTATAATACATGAACAAGTTAAACTCTACTGACAATAAGAAATAAGTATTTTTAAAATGTGCAAAATGTCAAGGAGTCTTCATTAAAGTTGATGGCTCTGTGGTTGCAAGAGATGTTTTCTAACAGTCCAACACATTCGTTGAACAGTCCCACAATCTAATTTAAATGTATACAAAAGCCACCTGACACTCACACCAAAAGTTACACTGAACTTCTATCTTTAATTTGTTTTGTAAGGCTTTGCCCTGAAGACTTTATTTAGAGCTAGGAAATAAGGGATTATAAATGACATGACAYGTACCTATAATTTATTATATTATGTATGCTTTGATTAGCCATGTACCAGACTACTTAAAAGTTATTTATGAGGAACAAAAATAAAAGTTTACACGTTATCTATGTGAACAGCACCTTTGATGATTTTAGTGTTTTACGTTAATTGTGACAAATGTTGAGAGAGTGATATTAAATCATGAAAGGTGTCATCATGTGAGTATATCTGTAAATCTTATCAGCTTTCTTAACACGACTGCTCATCAGTCATTTCCAGGGACGGAATGCACCAATACACTGCAACATTTTTTTTCCTGAAAACTTCTGATTTTCATGATTGCCTATACTGATACATACAGTATACTTGATTTAATAATAAACACTAAGAACAAAATATAGTAGCAATTCTTGTCATTCTGACAGGCTTCTATATACACAAAGTGTCTAAAAATATAGCAAATTCTCTGTAATGTGTTGGCACATCACCTGATGATGATGATGATGATGATGATGATGATGATGATGATGATGATGATGATGATGATGATGATGATGATGATGATGATGATGATGATGATGATGATGATGATGATGAWGATGATACAGCGCGCGCCTCCTCCTGTCCTCAGGACCGTGCGTAAAAAAACAAGCTCCTCCTCTTTTTTCCCTTTCTCATTGGTCGCTGGTTGTTTCCATCTTTGAGCGCAACTTCAAGACGAGCTTGAACAGGTAGGTGTAACATTTTACAGACACTCCGTTACARTTAATGTGTTTAGTAAAATAAGCTCGTGTTAAGAATGTTTTTAAGCTAGCAGGGCTGCTCTGCTCGAAGCTCAGCGGGATGTAGCGGGAATGAGAGGGCTGGGATTCTGTACGCTAATACACTTTATATTGAATCAATAAAATAAAAAACGGCTTCATTTTAAACCGTAAATCTGTTTTTGTTTCGTTGGGGGTCTCCTGGCGTTGCTTCGCGGTTATTTCGTGTCGTAGTTTGACGGGTATCCTCTGTGCTGCGCCGCTAATCGATACGCCGGTGTTGTGTCGAAAAGTGATAGCCTGTCAAAAATTGATCTGCCGTTATCGCGCATGCGCAGTCTGTGTGAGAAGAACCGTTTTTTATTTTCTGCAGTTAAACGTAATWACAGTTTGTATATTTGTGACGTTGAAACAGCAAGCTAGAGACACTCAGACAGGCTGGGCGCGCTCCCAGTCATCAATATTTGGCACAACATCTGAGACTGAAGCAGCGTTTTAATCCATTGTCTGGACAGGCAGACCAGTTTTGTACGAAGGTATGAGATAATTGATGCTACGAAGATTATTGTGTCTGAGAATGTTCAAATGTAGAAATATGTAGGAGTAATGAAAAGGTCGAGAGCAACTTGATCAGCAACCATTGTCTTCAGATATTAATATCCTGTAAATTCCTGTACTCCTCTCCTCTCCTGTCCTCTCCTCTCCTCTCCTCTCCTCAGGATGGAGGCCCTGTTCAATGAGTGGCTGTGGCAGGAGCGGTACTGGCTTCCTCCTGGTATTGGATGGAAGGACACTGAGATGAAGGAAGATGAGGGCCACTTTCCTTTACCCAGGGATCTCATCTGCACTTTACCACTGGCCTTGGTCTTCATAGTGCTCAGATTTGTGTTTGAGAGGTGCGAATGTCACTACAGTAAATCACCGATTCAAAATCATTATTTTGACACTATTTGTTGGATTTGTGTACCAGTAATCTAAACACTGCTATTGTTATTGTTATTATCTAAACATGTAATGAGAAGCAGACATAAGTAGTTATGTTTTGCCCTGTCCTTTTCCGTTTTCAGCCTCAAGATGTTGCACACTTGCTTGGCATAAATAAGTAATGATGCATTTAGTCCTTCTGTARCTGTTTAAAACCAAATCATTAGTAAAGCAACCTTTTGCTGAAACGCTTCTGTGCTGATCAAAAACATTTGAAGAGAACAACTAATTTTGGTTCAGCTGAACAATGTTAGCATTATATTAACATTAATTATATTAACGCAAAATCATTACATTCCAATCATCACATCTGGCTTGTTATGCCAGACTCCTGATGTATCTGGACGTGTCTTGGAACAGCTTTAACCACTTTTCCATTCAAAACAACGATGCATTTAGGATTCAGCATGAGATTAAAGCGCAGGAAACACTGAGGCAAACAGTCTGTGCGTTGAATATTTTATTAACAGGAGTTGTTTTTAACTGCTCTTCACAAGCACTTATAAGTTGCCTTTATGGTTTGTTGTTAAATTATTTTTTAATACAAATCTCTGAAGATACTTAAACACTGCTGTGAGAGCAAACTGAATATTATTTTGTCTTTTATTTGAAATTGTGAGAAATTATTAGATACTTCTTTATTTTTAGACAATTGTTGACATTAAATATTTTGAACTTATAGAGGAAGTGTATGATCATTTGTTTTACATCACTATTACCGATCTTTTTTTTTTTAAAGATCTTTGATTATCAGAGAACCAGTTGGATTGTTTGCAATTTGTGTCTAATTGCAGACACACACACACGTGATGCTTGAACACATGATTTTACACGCCTTTCTCTACCAGTTTGCATGTTATTTTTTAACACACATGTTGCTCAATGAGAGCTCTGTAATCATTCATTTAGCCCTCCTGGGGTGATTGATATGCTTGTTAGTAACATCAGCTTTGCTAAAAGAAGGCATGGTTGAGAAGACGATGACAAAAGCTGAACACCAGCATGCATCTGTGCGTGTTTTGGGTTTGACGGACATGTGTGTCGTTTTGGTCGCTGCGACTCACAAGCCAGTCAGCTGGAAGGTGGATAAAGGCGTGTCTTCATTCAATCCCCTCAGGCCATGGCTGCTTTCTGTGTTATTGTTGCTGCATGTGTGTGTGTGTGTGTGTGTGTGTGTGGTATATAGATTCCTGTAACCAGACACTGTGTGTAAAGCTGCACTGACCTTCTCATTGTCTCTGATCTTTCGCTCGGTTCCCAGTTCCAGATGATTATCTCTGAGGTAGAGTTACACGTGACCATACTGTAGATGTGCGCACACACAGTCATTTATCAGAACATCTCGCACATGCTGATCCTCCGTCTGTCTTCTTGCAGACACTTAACGCAGATCAAGTGTCTGTTAACGACATATCAGATAAGGCCAAAGGCTATCTGGTCAAATGTCACAAAATACTCAAAGTTGCAGCTCCGTAAGCTGTCAGTAGATTCTAATGACTTATTACCGTTGAATTAACAGCACACTGAACAGTCGCTATTGGGAACTACACAGCATCATAACATAATTATTGTTCATTGAGTGTTACTGTTTCTAAAATATTTTGTCTTCTTGTGTTTTCTGTCCTGTCAGGATCATCGCAATTCCTTTAAGCAGATTTTTAGGTGTGAAGGATCGGATTCAAATTCAAGTCTCACCTGTCCCAGAATTGGAGGCCTTCTACAAGTACAAAAGTCGGCGACCATCCAAAGTTTGTATTCTTCTTCTATCTCGATTTATTGTCTAATCTTTCTATAACTGGAACAAGACAGATGATATTTAACTGTATCTGGGATTAAAGACCTCTGATTTCTGTTGCATCTCTGTGATGGGTGCTGGGGCATCCTCTTCTTTTCCTATATTAGAAGCTCTCAGTCCCACATATACATCCTACATATTTTATATAAAATATAAAATCATTCTATGGGATATAGATTTGGAGGCAGGTTAAAATAAAAAAAACAACTAAACAAGCAAGTCGACAGTTATTTAATCTGCTGTGATTGCGCAACAACTTCAGAATCAACATGCTAACATGTAGCATCCGTAGGCTACTTATGTAAACAGTGAGCTCAATGTGACGTCACGTCAGTTTCTACTCAGGCGAGTCACATCAGTGATGTGCAGAGCTCACAGTGGATTCTGATGGAGGTCACATTTAAAGTATAATACTAACTTTCGTGCAAAAAAAACTCAGATTTTTGCAAACTATCAGAATTGAGCATTAAGACCTGCAGTGTGAACGTAGCTCTATTTGATAGACTGAAAGAAATATTCTTGCTCTCAGTCCAAACATGTTTTCAGTGACAGTTTAAAGGAAATACAACTTTAATCAAAGGATTTTGTTTCACAGTAACGCACACATGCTTTGCAGAGTTGATGCCAGTGTTTGATGGACTTCCCACAGAGGAGAGCTCACTTGTTAAACCTGTTTTTACCCTTTGAATAAAAAAAAAGACTATCATCTTCCTTTGCAAGAATGTGAGTGTTTGCATACATTTGCAAACTGAACTGATAACATGCACTGCTGACACTTTATAAATGCTCTGATGTACATATTTGGTGTGATTACTTGTTGACATTATGTGTAGAAAACACAGCGTTGTGTCTTTTGAACGAGCTTAGGAATAAGGAAGCTTTCTAAAGAACGTCATTCTTAATGGCAGAGAGCAGGTCATGTGTTAAAACAAACTGTTTAGATGTTTAGCTGAGGTGTATTTTGTCTGAAGTACTTCCTTTTCTACGTGTTTTGTTTTGTTTTTCTGTACCTGATCTAAAGATGTATTCAGTGAATGTAAAATTTGTTCTTGACTTAAGGTGCAACATATTTTGTACACAGGCAGTTATGACTTTCTAAAGTAATTTAAATTTGCTTTTCAACAAGTTTGATCTGGTGGAAAGTAAAAAAAAAGAAAAGCCGATTTGCTGAGAGGCATGTCATGTAAGATTAACTATTGTTCGGTTTGATCTTACAGTTGTTTTGAGTTTCTGCTGAACAAACCTAAGGACAATCATTTTTCAAAAGTAGCTCAAAAAACCTTTGCCTTAAACATGCTGATCAGCTTGATTTAGTGCTCTTTTTTCACTTTAGGAATATACTGATTAGACCAAGCTGCTCTGTTGTTTACCGTCTACATCAGAAGACGTACGTGAATAATTTAACGGGTGTAAAACTGTCCCTTTGTGTGTTGTAAATTTTTTATCTGCTTATCAGTCAGCAGGTGCAGACATGCAGCAGGATCCAGGTTAAACTGGAACTTTCTCCACCTTTTGACTACTTTCATTTAGCATTGCAACACTGATGTTGCTGTGCAGACAGCAGGGCCGTGCACCTGTCAGGAGGACAAGACAGGACTTGACAAATCAAATTGAATTTTTACTGCTCAGTGAGCATTTATTTCTGTTTGTGCATGTATGCGTGTTTGATATGTCGCATATTCACCTGCCTGTGTGCCCTGGATTTCTTTGCACTCTTTGTTTCTCTTCTGCTGCACAAGCTGACAATTCCTATTGAGCTTATAGCAGCAAAAATAAAAGAGACGTATAAGTTACGTTTTGCTTTAACTAAGAATATTATACTCTTAACCTTAGAGTCAGGTTTCAGCCAGCAAGGACCTTTCTTCAGTAATGGAAGCCTGAGTAAAGCATCAGGGTGCAGAGAAAGAGGGTACTCTGTTTAATTTGAGCTCACGAGGCTCCAGTTCAGTCATGAACCTGGTTCAGTTTAGCTACAACTGCATCAACACTACTGCCAGCTGCAAAAGAGCAAATAACTTATTTCAGGTACTTTATTTGTTTTTGTATGTTTAGAGTGAGGTGGTGGGCTTGGTGAAGCAGTGTGATCTCACCGAAAGGAAGATCCAGACCTGGTTCAAGAACAGACGAAACCAGGACCGACCCAGCAAAACAAAAAAGTTCTGCGAGGAATCGTGAGTCGTCTCCCCCTCCGAACATTAACTAACTAATAAAACAATCTGCACTTCACTGATTTGTGTGAATTCGACTTTTGCAGGTTTGTTGATGTTTTTTTTTTTTTATCAACAGCTTTTTTCAACTCATGAATTGAATTTGTACAAATATCTAAGGGTCGGTAAAAGTATCGATTCATAAATGCATCGCAAAATTTTTTTTTTACCCAATTCAGTTTTGATTCAGAAAACCCTCTGATTAATTTCAGTCCCCTGGGTAATTTGTTGTGTTTTTATATTTTCACTCTGTATTTAGAACAAGTATTGTGCTACAGCTTTATTTTCAGACATTTTATTTCCCTTAGAGGGAAGTTCTTCTTCCATGAAGCAGCTCTGTTGTCCTCCATCCATATTTTCAGTTACAGACTGAGTCATTTCTACCTTCTCCTCTCTGTCAACGCTCTCTGGTTTCATTTAAAAGAGTCAATCGTCAGATATTGTCCAACATTAACCTTCAGGGTGGATATAGCTCGCTCACACTGAGGACCTATCCACATCATCATTTCACCAGAATGCTTTGTATGTAAATAAAATGGCTCTATCCATGTTAAAATATATTTTTTAAAAATTACTAAACAGCTTAGAGTATTTTTACAGTATTTATTTTACAGTTAAAATATATGTTTAACAAATAAAGTCTAATGTTACAACTAATCATGGATCCCTTTAAATCACGTGTCAAACACAAGGCCCGTGGGTGACTCCCGTGTGGCCTGCCGATTTTTTTTTCTTAACATGAAATTTCTTATGTCAACAGTAAACTTTTAATTTATGGTTAAATGCAACAAAATTAATTTAATAAAAATAAATGAAATAAAAATTAATTAAAAAAATTCCTGTCCCTGAGCTGTTGGCTTGAAGTAACAGCAATTTAGTTGGATAGCACAGTATTAATGTCTGAAATTAATCTGGTTTAAAGTCACCATCAAACATAAACTAAATCTGACATAATACAGCTACTCGCTAGAAACTCATCAGTTAGTAAAACTTTGTTTTACTTTTAATAATATTTCTGTATTTATTTCAGATTTAGTCAGTCATACAGTTAGTTCTTATCAGTGTTTAAAAGAGGACGTATTAAAACTGTTTAGTCAAAGTTAAACATGAAACATCAAAGTTCATTACAACTGGCCCTTCGAGGGCCACCATAACGCTCATGTGGCCCTTGGTGAAAATGAGTTTGACACCCCTGCTTTAAATGATAATAAACCATTTCTGTTTATATGGGCAAGAGAATAAAAACTTTAAAATTATCCACAGGGACTGCAATGAATTATTTGTGTACTTCTTATTATAAAATTAATATTGAAGCATTTAAAGCAATACCAAATAAAACTGAAATTGAATCTTATTGTGAGGTTGTTAACAATATGCCAGCCCTATAACATTGTATAACATGCAGTGATGATGGTTATTTTTGTCTTTGCAGCTGGAAGTTTGCGTTCTACCTGATAGCATTCACAGCAGGACTGAGCTCACTTATTAATGTAAGTGTCTATATTTTAACTTTTTTTGACAATCATATATTTTCACAGATTTTAATGATCATTTAATCACTGATATAATGGGAAAAGACATTAAAGGGATGTTGATAATTCAACATTTGTTTCATATACAGTACTAATATAGAACTGCTTTCAATTTGATGATATTTGGATAATTTTTGGACCAGTTCTTGTGTAACCAAATGAATGTTCCCTGAATATTTCAGACCTCATGGCTCTGGGATCAAAAAGAGTGCTGGAGGGGTTACCCCAAACAGGTAAGCAGGAAGTGGCACTATTTAAATATGCTGTTTTAAATACAAACAGCTTTTGTTTACATTTATTCTGTGACCTGATCATCCACACACTTTCCCACTTGATTTAAACATAACCTTCTTATTTTGTTGTTCGACACTGAAAAATTGTGCTTCCTCAACAACGTAGACTCAAATTTGCGTACCAACGGTACTGAGAGCTGACTAAAGCTGTAACAATCTGTTCAAGCGTCTTCAGGAGAACGGTGCTAATCCATGTAAAATAAAATAAAGCTGTGTTCAAGATAAAAGTGCTAAAATGTTGCAGGAGATGCTAATTTAAGACATCGACTTCTGAATGAACCAGCTTGTAATTCAAACGTAAACATAAAATGTTGTTATGTTGCGTTCTCACCGAATGCGATTTCAGTGTCAAAAGCGCGTCCAACGCTTCAAGTTGGACGCTTGTGCACTTTGAGGTCAGATGCGAGTCAAAATTGCTCTTGATACGTGCCGAAAGTCTCTTGGCTCTGTCGGTCTCTGTTTAATGACGGATGAAATAAAGAAAGTGGCTTTGCTTTATTTACTGAGAGCAAGAGCACGTCACGCTCACCTGACAATTAATTCATAACTAATTTAACAGATAATTCCAAGATGTTCTGAATTCGGTGAGTTTTACCACTCCAGGAGCTGCGAGCTGATGAGGCTCGCTTTCAGAAATATTTTAGCCCTGAGTCCAGTTTTATGAGCTGCTGACCCACGTCGGTGCTGATATCTCCTGCCTGGACACCGACTACAGGCACTCGATTTCAGCTAAAGAGCTCCTGTCCATCTGTCTCGGGTTAGTGGACATCATTCAGGAAACTGTCCTATCAGAAAATCTGTCACTACGTTACACAGTGGAGTCGCTCTGATTGGCTGACCCGCTGCGTTGAGCTGCAAAAGTTTGGATTTTCCAAATCCAGCATTCAATGTTTCGCACGTCAAGCGCGTCGGACGTTCAAAACGCGACGCAGCACTTCCCGACACTCCTAGACTTTGCATGTAAACCTGACGCTTGAAAACACGTTTTGTGTGAATGCAGCATTACACTGCAAGTGTTTTAGAGAAAACAAAGGACAGCAAATTACAGTTGTCACTCTTATTAGACTGAAGCTTGGGTAATAGTTACAAAATATATTAAGTAAAAAAAATTGTATTGGTTTTCCTTTTTTATTTTGACTGCTGTTCTACTTGACGATGGTGAAAAAACTATTTCATTAACCTGACTGGCAGCACCTGGGTGTACCAGAAGGTCAAATCAAGTTTCAATAACAACAACAAAATAAGATTTCTGTTAATTGCAGAGACGTTTTGGTTAGTTTTTCATGTGCACAATCCACACACTCTGCTCTACTGCTCATCTCACAAATGCATGTTCCTTACAAATGTGGCACCATTTAAAAAGGAAATTAACAGACTTTCCAACAGAATAAAAGTTACTGCCAAGAAGCTTTTGTTACAACAAAGAAATAATCTACCAAACCCACATGTCCTTTTCTTTTTATGCTGTTTATACGAGAAATAACGTTATGATTTTATGAACTATAAGCATTACTGTAACTTATTTGAATGGCTGCGCTGTAGTTTTAACACTAATGTTTGTGGTGTGAACAAATAGCTGAAATGTATTCAACAAAATCAAGTCTTTAGTGAAGGAGAGTTGGCCTTTGTCACAGATCTGCAGCACAGATTGGTTAGCACACCCTCTTCCTTCTATGAACATTTATCTAAATTCCTCCACTTGTTTTACAGGAATGCTGCTTTAGAATGTCTGCAGTTTTTGTTTTAAAAGCTGGTATCTGTTGTGTTTCAATGACAGTTGGGTATGCCTGAACGTCACCACAGATTCATGGAAACCACCCCAAGGGTCATGACCTTAAAACAGAAAACATTACAGAAAGAAAACACAGAGCCATAGCTGTCTGCATCTGCAGGGACTGATTACAGCTCCTGACTGTTTCCTTTTCTGAATTGTTTTTAGCGATAAAGAACTGGAATAAATGTTTCAGTCCACTTCCTACCATTGTGCGCTGCAAACATTAAACATTCTGCAAGACCTATTTTTGTTGTTGTTTGAGATAATACACCATAACTTCCTTTCACTAAAACAAGTTTTTTCTAGAGCAAAATGAACCTTATGAAGCAGGAATGTTCTCGTGCACTCACACATATCACTGGGTATTTGTGGGTAGTTTAAAGAGGAACTTACCCCAAAATTAACTTTTTTTAGCTGATAAACTATCTAGAATGTGTCTAAAATGTTATATAGTACTGTTTCTATGCTAATTTTGATGTTTTTGTGCGTATTTGTTSAAATCTGTAATATTTGGTCTAAAAACATCTTTTTGCTGCTCATATGGGTAGAGCAGTGGTACTGCAGGCTAATTTGCATATTGGTTAACGGCTCTCCACGGTGACGTGTCTTCTCCACGGTTTCGTCATAGCAGCTGTGTTCTGATATAAAAGCCTCTCTCTAAGACACGCCCCTGCAGCAGTCAGTGGTTGGAACAGCTAGCATAGCATGATCATCTGTTACAGCTTCGTATTAGCATATTAGCGGCGAACATCACTTAAACACACACACACACACATACACACACAATGCCTCAGCAACACAAGGCTTCATGTATCACTGAATCAACCTTTGAACCAGCAGCTCGATCTGATAAGACTTTAGCCCCACTGAGCTCCACAGCCTGATTCTCCTTCAGGTGAGGAGAAGAGGAGATGGAGGCTGCCTGCGCTGCGCTGCTCTCTCTCTCTCTCTCTCTCTCTCTCTCTCACACGCACACACACGCACACCCCAGCCCGCTGTACGCCCTGCAGAAACAGGTAAACAAGAACAGAATGTGTGTACACACGCAACGCAGCAGGGCAGTCTGGGTCGGACAGAGCTCAGCCGTGGCTGCGGTAAAGAGCTTCGTGATCCAGGGAGACAACAGAAGTCAGTCCCAGACTGAGCTGACTGGTCATTTTAAATGAAATATGTCATAAATAATTGTGTATGTCATGAAAATTTAATTGTTTAGAACGATCAGAAATGTTAGCTTGTCACGCTCTCTGTCTCTCTGACCCACAAAATGATTGTGGCAAAGACCTCATCTATTGCCAGTTTAAACATAACATAATGAAAACACAGTCTTTACAACCACAATATCATTTTTATTAATTTAGGATATTTGCTTTTATTTTCTGTGACAAGTATGAGGAATAACATGAGATAAGAGTGATTTTTAACACAAGTTGATGTCTGAAGTTTATCTTAAGGACTCTGACTTGATGTGTCATGACCCTCAGATTTGGGACAAGTGAGGTTCGTTTTGTGTGTTTTGTTACCTCTAATCACAACTCACTATTCTCCAGGTCTTGCTCTTGCAAGGACACCAACATCAATATCAATGTGGCTTTAATGAACAGTTTTATTAAGACTCCTGATTTTACAGTTAAATGTAAATGTTTACTCATCGTCATTCGCCTCCTGTCATTCTGCAGCCCGTGTCAGACACTCACTACTGGTATTACATGCTGGAGATGGGTTTCTATCTGTCCCTGATTCTGACTTTTTCTAGGGACGTCAAACGAAAGGTGAGCCTGACTCGTGTACTCTAACAACTAAATGTTTTTTTCTTCTTGCCTTATGAAACTTTTTAAAGTTTTTGTGCTGATTTATCCTGTACTTAATCCTAACTTTGTACATTTTGTGTTTACTGTTATTTCAGTTCTGAGTGTTGTAGGATTTTTATTTTTTATTTTTGGGTCTGTTGTAAGAGTTTATTGGTATTATTAAAAGCCTATTTAATGGCATTCAACAAAATTTGAAATTCTTAATTACATTTTGCAGTAAAATCAACATTACAGTTTCTTTAGGCATAAGATTGGCCTATATACAATATATATA